AATAAGGCCCGTCTTCACAGGATCCTTTATACTACATATTCTTTTATTTTGCTTCTTACATGTGACAAATCTTAATATATAGGCACTGACAATTAATGTTTCATATTCTAAGCCTAAAATACAAACAAGGGAAACTCTCTCTCAGCGGTCTCGCCTGCATTACGCAATTCGATATGATGAAAAATTGAGGTTGGGACATTATTTATAGGCAGAGTGGCCCTCATCAGAAGAATTATAATTTGTACCAAGATTGATAACTTTAATGAAATATGAACAAATAACAAAAATTGATTATTTATTAATTCTCATATTAAGACGTGAAAACATAATCCAAGTCTTCTGACCTAAAATGACCTTTGATCTTGACTTTGTGACCTGGAATTAGTGTCATATGATTTGTGGTATGTGATAATCCTTGGGTACAAGTTTCGTGAAATTTGAGCAAACACTTTAGAAATTATGCTAAAAGTTCAAAATCTTGATGATAATGCCTAACAAAGTTGCAGACCTGAAATTACATTTGACCTTGACTTTATCACCTAAAATACATACAACATGATTGATGATACTTGATAACACTTATGTTTAAGTTTCATGGAATAGGAATATATACTTTCAAAATCTTAACCTTTGGTTAAATTTTGATGTTGATGCCACAACATACTGTAGTGTAAGTTTGCAGACCTGAAATGACCTTTGACTTTGACTTTGACTTTGGGACCTGAAATTCTACTCAAATGATTGGGGATAATTTATAACCCTTTTGTCCAAGTTCCTTGAATAAGAACTTATACTTCCAAAATTATGTTAATAATTCAAAAACTTTAAGTTTTTGATTTTGTCACCGGAAAAGCGGCGCCTATGTCTAGCATTTGCTGTGCAGACGAGACAAAAACATGATTATTATTTTTTGTTTTAAATAAAGACTTTCTACTTCAATAACATGTGACAATATTGTGAAGGAAGTGTAAGTAATTTGCATAGATCATCAGTTAATAAAAGGCAGCTATGATTAACTAATCAATATTTTCTGAGTAAACACAGTTCAAACACCACGTTCATACTATGCTAGCATGCTTAAGTAAGAAATACATGCACAACTAGGTAAAAATGTGCATAGCAAGATGACAATGTATGAAGGATTAGTGTCATAAAAATAGTAACATTTATCAGAGAATAATATGCAGTAACTACATGTAAGTAGTCATTAATTTCCATTCAATTGTATTGCAATACAATGGAATTTACATGTAGTATTATATTTGGTGTATATATGGAAGAGAGTGAGTAAAAAATGTTTTTAAAAGATTACAACATCCTTGATATTTTGTTATTGGTGCAAACTTGTTTAGTACATGTAAAACATCATATTCTATTTATAGCCTATCATATTTATATCAATTTCATAATTTGATCACTAAAGTCTGGCCATGGAAAGCTGAACAGCAGTATTTCTCCTGATTCATTGCAAACTTGCCTCTACGTAAGTATTGAATGTAATTAATTTAGGTTTGGTTGAATGGTCTCCATCCAATAACACAACCGTGGGAAAAGGCAATGACGTTTTTTAGCTTGATTTTTAATTTAATTTTTAATTTAATTTTATGACTTTTTATTTTTTTAATTTGGCCAATGCTCAGTCATCCACGATCACATTTGGGTGAGCAACCTATATGTGTCACCTTAAAGATGACGTTATCAACCATCGCAACATTGCCATGCATGTCAGCAATTTCAATTCATATATTTTTCTAAAGATATTGGGGCTTCAATGAGTTCCATTTTTTTTACTGACACTAAATACGGTTATTTGGTATAGTTACACTATCACAGACTCTTACAAGATTTGGCACATAAATGAATAATAAGTTGGATGATATCTCTGCATAATAATATAGACTATTTCATTGTTATACAATAAATTTGTTACAAAAATTTGTTTAAATACATGTACACATGTAAACATTCAGTGGACTAGCAGAGGAATAACAGCCTACATGTAATTTTGTTATTCTGTGCAGTACAAAGCAATATTTGAAACAGTCAAAGTCTGACTGAAAACTTAACAGTCATCCCTATTTTGCAAATACATGTAAATGCTGCTGATGTCAAAATTACACATCCATGATGAATCTAGAACTTAACAACACAAGTATATTTATTTCATATACACATACATAAACTTCTTAGCAAATCACACAAATCATAACCGGATTTCTTAAAATTGAAAGGCAATTTACCCTTTGGCCGATGATTCACAAGATCAGCAAGGTTCATGAGACCAAAAGCCCATTCCAAAGCATCTCAACCAAAAAAAAATATTTAACAAAATAATGTCTATAGTTGAAAAAAAAGTCTCCAACATCAAAATTTCAAGTATTTTCATGAACTTTTCATACCCTTGTGGAGTCATCTGAGAAAGTGGTCTATGTTCATTTCATGATTTATCCTCTACTTCATTCATTATTAAAAATACATGTACATACAGTCATGCACACTCTTGTAAATTGAGTGATTTACTATGATAGCGACTGGAGAATGAAATGATTGACTTCTGCCCCTTTCAATTGTTGTGGTTGACTAATCAAGTCTTGATTTTAAAGGGGAAGTCCACCCGATATGAAGTTGGTTTTAACAGAAGCAGAACAAATAAAAGGAACAGGTCAATGAAAGTTTGAGCAAAATCTAATTAAAAATAAGAAAGTTACAAATTGTTGAAGTTGTGATCAATCAAACACAAATTGGCAACTCTGTGACATATCTTGCGAGGTTCCTTCCCATTTGCTCTGTACTAAAGAAAATCAAAAATTCATATTTTCCCCTAGAGAAAATATTCAGTCATACATTCACCCTCAGTATTATTGCAAATACATTTCTATACAACCCCTGTATAAAACGAAGCTATTCCTTCATCAATAACTAAGAAAATGAAAGTTCATGAAATAACTCTACTGTGCAAATTGGAGAAGACTTCACAAGATATGTATGTCACAGCATTGCCAATTTGTGTTTGATAGCATATAATTACAAAATTTCATAACCTTGATATTTCTTTATTGGATTTTGCTAAAACTTTCACTAATCTGTTTCTCTCATTTTCTGCTTCTACTAATATCAACTACATGTAAATATTAAGGTGGACTTCCTCCTTAATTGTTTTTTGTTTAACATGTTGTTTGGTGTTTTCTTTGTATGTTTATTGTGGTTGCAATGAAGAAAAAAAATCATAAATGTGGATAGTCAAGAGTATCTTCAATCACATGTAATGTACAAAATCTGACAATATTTTATGTTTAAGATATGAAAGGGTACAAAGTTGAGACTTAACAAGAACTGGCATTTGTTCTGGTTGGCATCATGAAACTTACAATTTTGTTATACTAACTTTAAGCTTGTTTCTAATTCTATGTGTCTTCTCAGCTCCTTTTTAATTGAGGGATTTATTAAAGCTAATCTTGTGATTTAGTGGTTGGTTGATTTCTGATCTTTTTATTTATTCACTGAATGATAGATTGATCGATCAATTACTTGATATTTCTATATAAGCGATATTTCTGTATGAGCAATCTTTTGTGTTAGTCTCTTTTGACATTTAAATATGTCAGCTTGAATTGAAAAATTCCCCAAATAGTAACATTTCAAACCACTAAAAAAAAATTATGTAATTGTTCACTAACACATGTTATTGATGGGATATGTCAGGATATAAGGAGAACAAAAATTGTTCTTTCAATTATCTTTTGATGATCAGAAAAAGAAAATTTCTAAGCCTCGACTACATGCCTCTCAACTTTGCTGATTCCAGTCAGAACAAATAGTCGTCCTTGTCAACATTCAATATTGTAGCCCATGTAGCTTTCAACATGTGTGAAAATTTCTTCAAAATATTTAATAGGGGCGATTGTTTTTAAAATGATTTTTCCAAAAAGATGCATACTACACATACTGAATGTCAGTCATAAAGACTTTTTAATGACCCTTAAAAAGTTAACAAGACCAGAGCCAAAATAGACTAATGGTCCACAAAGGTCTTGTGAACTTTCTGACGATTACATGTATTCACAAGGTTTATAAGACCAAAGCCTAAAGGTTCATTCAACTGGAGTCACATACCCACATACTAATCATAAGATTCAAGAGGCCACATCCAAAAGTCTCCCCTCAACACATCAGTTGGTCTCATCATGGACCTATTACGGATGGACATTCCACGTGATTCTTTCTTTGATCCAATGATAGTCGCCGCCTTCTGATTATGTGCATCTTAATGAGAACATTCAGCTGTTTTAACAATAACGACTGCGTAAGCATTTTCGGTAATTGACAAAGGAGCAGTTTCCCTCTCTTGGGTTTTGTTTGGTTGGTGTGCTCTGTAAGAGTGTGTCTTAAATAAGAGCATTCCCAATGGGGAGCAGCAAAGTTGAAAAGCAGACAATTTTGGTGATATGAAATGTATTATTACTGATTCGCAAACTTTCGCACACACCTTTGACCTTATAAAACAATTAGAAGGCCATGATCTGTATCAGCCCTGTGCGTTGTAACTGTGGAATATTATGGTGGAATATTATGGGGAAATAGGGGAAAACAGGATTTTAAATCACAACCTCAAAATCCAAAAATAACCTCTATCTGGTAATATCAACATGTTTCTCAAAATAAAATACATGTACAGTACACGGAACAACAATTTCCGATTATAAGCCACAACTGCAAATCGATTTTCCATGATTTACGCAAGGGAATTATCTTCTGCGCATGTAGATTAACATGTGTAAAATCACTATCTTGATTCTGTCCCGGCTTTTTGGCGGCGACCATGATGAGATCAAAGTGAAGAAACATGAACAGAATGTTATTGAGACGACATTCACGGAGACAATTATCACAATGAATTCGTTAAGAAACCGATTGAATGTCCATCCGTAATAGGTCCATGGTCTCATGGACCTTCAATAATTGGAATGTGCTTGTATCAATTAGAATCAGTGTATTGTGTCCAACTCCTGTAGAACAATTATTTGGACATTCCAAGATGCATCAACTTTCTGTATGCCCCAGGTCCATTCCACAATCCTCTGTTAGGCAAGGAAGAATAAGCAGGAAAAAAAGAGGAGAAAAAAATTACATATTCATTTAGTTAAAGCTAATCTTGAGCTCTGGTATGGGAATTTTATTTGAGAGAAAATTGCTACGATTTATTCTGGATTGTTATCCTGCAGTGAAATTTTTAAAAAAACGCACAAAAACTTACCGAACATCATCTTCAATAAAAAACACAACTTCCATTTGCATATAGTGACCTGTGTTAAGCACATGGTGTCGGGCCTACATTACCCAGATTTCTTTATCTTTCTATGCTCATTACTCTACCAAAATTGTTTGGAACATTTCTTTTGTAATCTTGAACATTCAGTGTAAGTTTTGTTGGAGTCTGTGAGAATTTATTTTCTACACACAAAATGATACAACATGTATGTAATCATTAGTACTTTGCTCAAGGCCTAAAAAATATATAAAAATACATCAAACATTGCTTAAACATCCTATCCTGGGCAGAAAATATACCTTATCAAACAGCCTTTAAAAACTAAGTGTAATGGCCTATTACATGTACATATTATCAGTGGGGGATGGTAGACTTTGTAAATCTAATGTTAAAGATAAAGTTGAGTTCTGGTCATGTGATTGCATTGTGAAAAAACCGATGTGGAATCTATCAGAAAAGGTTGATCATCTAGTATTTCTGGAATCATCAAAATGATAAGAAATTTGGCCAAATCTTGGCAAAGTTACAAGCACTGTACACAGAATGATGTAAAAGGGACTACACGACCACATGGCGAAAAAAAACCTACCCCCCCGATTTTTACAATGTTTCATGTCGTATTTAGAATATGAAGGCATTTGAAGAGCCATGCTTTTCAGGGAACATGTTTAATCTGATGTTCTTCCACCCTTGCATAATAACAATGATAACGCTCACAAATAATTTTTTACCTCTTCCCAGAACTCAACCTTCTCTTTAATGTTCAGGAGAGTAATTAAACTTGAATGTTTAACATAAGTAAATCTGTAACATATATAGGTGGCTTGTAATTTGTGCAAAACTGCATTACATTGCTTAGTATTAGGTCGTGAATGGAATGGAAATGGAGTGGAAAAGAAGTGCAAGTAAAAAAGTAAAGTTAAACATTTAAAGCCTATCTACACTAGTTTGGCCAGGAGGGATTAGACCTCCCTGTGTGGTCACTGACAGGTGGTTATCTCATCAAATCAGCTCTCAATTAACATAATAAAAAGGGGACCATGGGGTACCCATGGATATACTGCTTCGGCATTGTTGCCTATATAGAGGGCGCAAGTAGCTACAAGTAGTGCAGTCCCCATTAAAAATTTAAACAAACTGAATTCATATCTATATACCTTTGACCTTCTTACTCCAAAAATCTATCTAGTTCATCTCACTGTGATGATGTATGCTAGTACAAAATTTTACATTAATTCATTTCTCCAACTGTTCTTCAGATATTGTGATGAGAAAGCAGGATTTCTTGAGTTTGATAGTAATCAATCCATCCATCGGTTCTTATGATAGTGTAATCACAAGCTATTTTTGCATACATAATAAGCCCTGTGACCTTTGACCTTGTGACCTCAAAATCTAATCAGTTCATTGGCTCTGCAAGATACATACATGTTTGAAGTTTGGCAGGAATCCAATTGGTTCTTGAGATAATGCAATCACGAGAACAGGACGTACAGATGGACGGACAACCCGAAAACATAATGCCTCCGGCTACTACTGATAACTGATAAAGAATTGTATGGGACAAAGTAACTCACTTGATCAGTCCATTCCAGTAGAGCTCTGGCATGATATCTTTCTTCAAGTGGTACATGAGTCGTCTCTCCTTACCCTGATCCAGTGGGAAGGTTTCCAAGGCGTCTAGGTTGAAGTCAAACTCGGCTAGGATCAGCTTTCCATAACCAGTCACCAGAGGGCAGGATGAGTAGCCATCATACTGTAAAAAGTATTTGAGTTCTATCATCAATACTATCTTCTAAAGGTTCATGCCCAATTTTATTGCAATGGCCAGCAGGAACACTGATTGGCCTAAACAAAAACAGATCAAGAAACTGATCACCTATATTGATTTCGTCAGAATTTTTTTTCTTTATTCTTTATTTCTTCCGTACAATTTTTTGTGTACATGCTTACTCGAAATCGACTTGGTCAATTTCCTTCGAATTTCTGTCAGTCATCAGGCCCTATAATATCAAATTCAAGTAACCTCCTCAAGGTCATGGGGTCACCGTGCGTCATCCAGGCGCCATTTTGTAAAAATCAGGTCATTATCATATATCGCAATATCAACCATATATGTATACATCAACTTCAGGTCAAAGGTCAACAAAAAATGTCGATAAAATTTGCGCGCGCACTTCTACGCGCGCGTACGCATGCATCAACATATTATAGTGCTCAGATTCGTCCCATATTTTGTTTGCACACGTTTCAGACCATTTTAAGCATTTTCAAAATTTGCCTGCGCGTTTCCGCGCGTACTGGCATTTCGCAATATAGAATCACCAAATTTTCTCTGTCATCATATCTACCACATTTTTCCAAGCATTTTGATACCTTGTTCACCTTTTTCTGACCAGTAATAACGCAATTAGCGTCCGTCAAAGATGCAAACATCCCAGAAGAGAAAGCTAGTTGCAACTGGTCCAGTTGAAGAACCCCGGAAATTGAAATGGGCTAAATGATCCAGTTGATCCAGGCCAGTTAGAATTAAACTGGTCTAGCTGAGCCATTAGAACCATTTGGTAAAACTTCCAACCAGTTGAAGGGCAACAACACTTCAATACTGGTAAACGTCTGTATTTCCAATGTAAAGGCATTGGTAATAAGTAGACTTACATACCGGTACTTTAATTAATCGAAATTTTTTCATATACTTGTATTTATTGAAATCATTTTAGTTCATAGTTAATGTTTCCCTTATTCATGTTTAATTAGATCTAAATGTAATTTATACGAAGTAGCGAAACATCTAATAACTGGTAATTATATTTGTAGTATTTTCAAAATAAGGGATTGCAGACTAAATCACCAGTAAAGAAATATGCTGTAAATTCATATAAATTGTTAAAAAAACATCTGCACACGCCCCATATTCAAAATGCAAATTAATTGGTGTCAGCTAGCTGATTCAACTGGAAATATGCACACAGACCAGTTATCAACTGGTGCAATGAAAATATGCCAACAGTCACGGGATTATCACCACGGAGTTAAATGGCAACTGTGAAACCATCAAGACACCCAAGAATAACTCATTATTCACACCCAAGATTAATAATCTGTTTGAGTCACGAGATCATCACCGTGGAACCTATGGCAACTTTGACTACCATTTAAAAAGGTGTTTTAAGACACCTAATAGTTACCTATTTTTCACACCTAAAAATCATGGATTCACAGCTTAGATTAGTAAATCAGCTCGAGCCACGTGATCATCACCAAGAAAGTTATGGTAACTTTGAATCCATTCAAGGTGTGTAAGGCACCTCAAAATTACTAATTTAATACAAGAGATTCACGGACAGAACAATAAGACGATTAGCCGGTGTAACGTGATTATTACCATCAACCTTGGATAACCTGTGAAACCAATCGATAAAGGTGCTTAAAAGACCAAATAATTACTTATTTATCACCACCATCAGTTAACGGATAAAAAAAACCTTGTTGCTTGGTCAAGTGGTTATTTGGTCATAAACACTTGATTTACAGAGGTAAGTGGAGACACGTTACTCCAGTCGCGTGATAAATTGGTGGTTTTTAGGTTAGATGAAAACGTGAGCAGGAGTACCTTTTTTGTTTAAATGAAGGCACATGTCGATAACGTTTAAATCTAGTTCAAAAGGCACCATACTTTAAAATCACTTAAAATACACCCCCAAAAGAGGTTATTTTTTAGTGTTCTGTTTATTGGGTAGGCCTGACACCATGTTTTAATACAGGTCACTATGTGCAAATGGGAGTTGTGGTTTTTATCGAAGATGATGCCCAGTATGTTTGTTTGCGTTTGTTTTTATTTCACTGGTTCAAACAACCAATCTACTGCAGGATAAACAATCCAGAATAAATCATAGCTATTTTCTCTCAAAATACGATTCCCATACCAGAGCTCAAGATTAGCTTTAAGCCACATATCCTTTTATTTCTATGGAAAATTTTACAAATATGAACTAAATTTATTATTTGATAACCTTTGACCTCCAATTCTTTTTCTTGGTTCTTCCAGGTGAGCATCTGGAATCAATACGCTTATTACTGACCTGCCAACCTCTGGAGTTCAAAAACTGTATTCTTTAATCCCAAAATTTGTATTTTACTGACAAAAAGATAATTGGTTGAATATGCATGATTTCATCACGACTGTTGTGTTCGATGAACCAATGAACATCCCCAAATTGCCAATGTGAGATGCTTGTAGGATACTTTACAGGACAGAGCGGGCATTTTGCCATTGAAAACACACACACAATTTATAAAATTAGATTAAATTTAAAAAAATAATTTTTTTTTTTTTTTTTTTTTTGTAATGGTATTTTATTGAGGAAAATCGTACTGTCGTATTTGCTTCTAAAAATCGTACAAAATACAACTAAATTGTACTGGTTGGCAGGTCTGTTATTATCCTGTCAATTTTAAAGTAGGTTGGCATTGCACATTGTAGAAATTTGTTTCTTGGTAAAATTACCAATTTATTTTGTCGAGGGTAAATAAAACTATTAAAACAAACAGAAAAATCAGAACTGATTTTATTATTTACTATATAAATCTATGTATCTACCTATTATTTGCTAGTTTATCTAAACTACGCTACCTTCAAGAACTCTTTAAAAACGCCCGGCATTCATCCTCTTTCACGAGCCTCCAAAGACATAGCTTCGGACATGTTGCCCGCAAGGTGAGGGGACGGAGGGAGGGACATTGGTAGATACATCAATTTATATGGTAAATAATAAAATCTGTTCTGATTTTTCTGATATACCACAATAAATCAATGTATCTACCTATTATTTGCTAGACCAGCACACAAATGGACCGGGAGATATGTCCCGAACAAGGAGCGTACTTCTCCGCTGTCCGGAAGCTATTGCCATAAGGAAAAAAGTTTTCAGCACCAAGCGAGGCCTTAGACAAAGGCTCAAAAGGAGGCTTTACCAAAACGTCCAAAACCCTCGGAAAAACTCCAAGCAGGAGCCAGCTTTGGTATAGTCGGCCACTGCAGAAAAGAATGCAGGAACTTGAACAAGAAATGGGAGATAACCCTCGAGCCGTCCGGAAACCAGACATGAGAGGCGACGAGGGCCGAAAGGTAACCACGAAAAGTGGAAGGACTTTACTCTTGTCAAACTAGTAAATCAAAATCCAGCTATGACACCTATCGAAGTCTACGGGTGAAACCCCGAGGCCTTCACACTAAATGGAGCAGGGCTCCAAACAAGAGTTGTAAAGGGTCCTCGTGGAATCCCTATGACTCTAGACTATAAACTGTGAGGTTCTCTCAGAGAGTCCAGAAGTCATAGCATACTCCCTGACACCTGCCCAGCGGCCAGAGAGAGAGAGTATGTACCTCTGGGCGATGACGGAAAATCCCGGACAGAGACTGGGACAACAGGTCAGGTCTCAGCGGGAGAGGGAACAAAGGTCCGCAGCAAAAGGGACAGAAACCAGAAACACTGAACTGAAACCAGCCAGAAACGGGAACTTGCCGGGGAGCCCGATGCCCCAAACATCAGATGAATTAATAATACGGTAAACATGTTTTGAAAAATGTGTGGAAAATTACCAGTGTGGAAATGACACATAAATATACAAGTATTAACCAATCACAGATGGCAAGGCCATCTATAAACCCCAAACCCCAGAGAGGAAGGGTGAGTCCCGATCCAGCTACCCACTCCTCTCTTGGAGGTGTAGCAAAAGAAGCTGGAGAAGAGAGCTTAACCATCACCAACGGACAAAAAGCCCGAGGAGAAATGCCAACCACCGAACAGAGCCTCTCTGAGGCCGAAGACGGTCCCCAAACCAAAACGGGTACCGGCTTACACCAGACAAGCGAAACTGGGCTTCAGACCAGCCAGATGGGACCAGGGTAAACCCTGTCACGCACCAAGCTACTACGGTTGGAGAGCAGGCAGGTTGAGGTCTAAAAATTACCACAGCTCTCTCCGTCTAAATCACAGTCGGAGACTTGACATTAGAAGGCTACAATAAACATAACAAACCAACTACAACTTCTTACCCCTCGCCAAAGCGTCCGGTGACAAAGCTTGCTCTAGACCACGCCTCACCGCATCAGAGGCTGCAAGAGCATGGTGTGAAAGGCTTACGTGTGGTCGACAACCTTCTGTCGTGTGGTCGACAACCTTCTGCCGAGTGGCGAACTCAACCGAAACCCCGCTGCAGATACTGAAGACAACTGCAAGGGCAGGAACTACACCAACCAGACGACGGCTCATGGTGGAAGGCCAACAGCACCAGGCAACCCGGACCTAAAAGTGTCTCAGATGCCGGAGTAGCAAAATCTGAACGAACCCAAAGCCAGGAGTGACCAGGGCCAACTCATTACTAGCCGAGGTTCGGGAAGGGACAGAAACTGAGCCTCCGTCCAAACCGAAAATGCCTTTCGGGTCTTTTCGTGGCTGGTATCCCCAGACACCAAAATCATCAAGAAGCCACGAAGCCCAGCCTGAGCATCTAGAGAACACACCGACTAACGTAACACTTAACTTAGTCTTCTCTACCTTGACCCAGTCGGCAGCTGGCCATCAGAACACTTGCGCTTCTTACCTGCAGGTACGGGAAAAGAAGCGAGTATAGCTGCCATACTAGACTACTAGACCTAGGCCATGGACGCCAGTGTCCAAAGGCCAGACAGAGCTGACCGCGTAAAAGGAAGGCCTGTACCACCATAGGTTGGCCGAGAGGGCTGGGGATTACTACCCCGCCAACTTCTCTCAGCAAAGAGTTTCAAATAATCGAGAGGCTCAGCCTGATCGATGGCAACAGAGAAGGGTAGGCGTCTAAAAGAGGCCGAACCCCTCCTCCCAGCCGTAGCCCAATGTGTGCCCAAGGTAGACATCGACTTAGAAAGAGACATGACTGAGACATGGCCGGGACATGGCTATACTCCATGCCTAA